AGAGAGAGAGAGAGAGAGAGAGAGAGAGAGAGAGAGAGAGAAAGAGAGAGGGGGGAGGGGGAGATCAGCCTTTTCGGTTCGTGATACAGCTCTCGCGAACTAAAACTATCCTTACTATATTAAATTGGCGATTCGTTGATCCACGAAGAAGCCTTTCCGCGTTTCAGCCGAGAATCACGCGCAGATTACGTTTCTCGCCGAAGTGAAAATCTTGAGATCATATCCGAAAGCGACGATTATCCCGCGATATTGTTTCCTCTTTATTCATGTAATCTTCCTTCTTCTACTTTTCTTTACTTGTAACACGCGAGTCGCAGCGAGTTCGGGCGAAGCTTCCTCGTGAGGCTTCACGGCGGAGATTTCACTGAGAGTTCGTCTCCTCCGGTACAACTGTCTTGTGTGCAATTGTCTTCGCACGAACGAGGTCTTCCACGGCGTGCTCATTCAGAGCTAGTCGGATCGACGGGTTTAACGCTGAATCGTGGTGAATCGCGACTCGGTGAAGCCTCACGGAAACCTCTCGCTCGGCACCCGTTTATCACGCTTCTCTCTCATTTGGCACGATGTCGTGGAGGTGTGTACGATAATACTCGCGATAGCGTATCTTCCACAAAACGCGTTTCCCGACGCGTGTGTGCGTGCGCGCGTGTGGGTATGTGTGTGTATATGTGTTTTTTCGTCCCTCCTCTTCGCTGCGCTGTCAAACAAATTCCTGATGCGAAAGGAACCTCGGAGTCAGCAAAAGATCAATAGTATCGGTCCGCGGTGAGTGTAGCGGTCGCGGAATTAAATCGCAAAGCATAAGGCGGCGGAGTATTCTCTTCCCAACGACTCGAGTGCGTTCGCGCGCGCGTTCTTGGCGCGAAAACAAATTTCCGTGCACCGCGAGGCGCTTCGCTTGCTTTCGGATTTTTTTTTTTTTTTTTGCGTCGAGCGCTCATTTTCGTTTGCTCTCTCTTTTCTTTTTTTCTTTTGTTCTTTTCTCCCCAAAATCGTCTTCGATACCACGGCGCCCAGGCGAAACTTCGTAGCGAGTACATTAATCGTGAGTATATTCGCCGAGAGACGCGCGTCTCTCGCTTTCTTTTCTCTCACATATAATATATACGATAAAATTTAAACGATGCAAAGTTGAACGAAGAGACAACAACGTACCCTAAGTGTTACTTTCCGTTCCGTCCGCCGAGAAAGAGGCCTCTGCGGTCGTCGTTGACCCTTTCACCCTGTCGCGCCGCGGAGAAACGGCAGGAAAGATGTCTGGAATCACTTTCGATCGGAGTTATCATCTCATCATTCTTAACAGAACTTACTTAATTATCCGACAAAGAATATAATCAAACATTACGCCGTAATCTGTCGTATGCAACCCGAGTAATCGGTGTTACAATCTTTTTCCGCAAAGAAGCGCGGTCAAATTCCGCCCAATCTTTTGCGGATCAAAATTTTGGTTCCACTTTGTAGTTAAATTAAAGCTTTTGATACGTAGATTACAAATATGTTAGTGCCAAGAGGGACGGAACTATCGTTCCAGAGAAAATGGTGCATCTAAAATTTCATCCTCGCTAGATGGCGCCACTGAGCCATCCATCTAGTGATGATGGAATTTTAAATGGGCCATTTTCTCTGGAACGGTAGCTCCGTCCACCTTGGTACTTACATATTCGTAATCAGCGCGTCCAAAGCTTTAATTTGAGTCCAATATGGATTCATAATTTTTATCCGGAAAAAAATTGGACGGCATGCCTATGACCGCATTCTTTGGAAAACAAATTTAATTCTTAGTTTAACTTAATTCGCGCAATTTAATGTTCAGTTATCAGCTTTCTAATTCAATATTTTAATCACAATTAAAGATTTTTTTAGAGGATACCGTGCGCGAGACCGCGCGAATGGGCTGGACGATCAATGAGGACCTCTTCGAACGAGACCCTCGGCGAACGATCAATAAACATCTCATACAGTAACGATCAAATCGAGGACTTCCAAAACGACAGAGGGTTGCTTTGCTGATGCTTGATCGTGAATATTACGTAAGGATGTCGCTGAAAAGAAAGTGCGTGCGCACGAGCACTTCGTTCCTCGCGTTCGACTTCTTTTTTTTTTCTAAAAGGAGAGATAGAAACAGTCTTTGTGTGTGTATATGTGAAACCACGCGTCCTGGAGCCGACATCAGATGCCGCGCTCTTCTCTTAGACCTACCTAGGACTCTCGTCTGTCCTTCCACCTACTGAATTCAATCGTTCCCGAGAGACGCGAAGGTCCAAAGGACGTCAAGAAGGGATTTGACTGGTGTACAAGTTGCAGAAAACCGATTCTCTCAATTTGTGAAGAGAAAGAGAGAGGGAGAAAGGGATAGCGCGTGTTCTTAAGAATTAATAAAAATTAACAAAGTTACGAATATCTTTGTACAAGCGTGTGTTTGTGTGGGTCCGGGCGCTCGAGCCCGTTTTGCGCGGCGGTGTAGCCGACTCAGTCTTTCTTTCGTGTGCTCCGCGAGGATGCTTTTTAACGTAAATCTGACGGAAAAATGCATGATTGAAAAAGTTACATTTTACAAGTGACTCGTTGCCATTGCTTATTATATTCATCGGAAAGAAAGAAAGAACTAACTCGTCATCATTACCCCCATTCTGAAAAATAACTCACCAGCGTTGCTCAAGAAAGAACGAGTTGTTACAATTCTCGTTATTTTCCCCGACACAGAGTTCTCTTTTAACTCGTTGAAATATCTCTCAAAAAATCATCGAAAAATCAGTACGTCCTTTAGACCTTCGCGTCATCGGAATATACGCATGTCCGGTCTCGTTTTCGTCCGCAACCAAGTCCGTCGACGGCAGCTAAGACGTTTCTCCTTGCCCGAGAACCTGAGGAAAATCCTGAGCGATGTGTCGTCCAAGCCCCGACGTTCCTGATGCCTCGCTCCATTCCGGCCTCTTCACTCCTGCTCCACACTGATGTCCACCGTTCTCACCCGGGACGAGTCGGTCGGCAAGAGTTGCAGGCGCTCGGGTTCCGCGTCCAACATGATGATGCACATGAAACTCTTGCCGGAGGCTTGATCTCTAGGGTAGATGGTGACCGGCGCGAACTTGTCCACCGAGCCGTCCACGTAGGAGCAGAGCTTCCGGTATACCTGCGGGAAATGCCGCCTCAAAGACACCCCGCGCAGCCTCAGCTGCCGTTGGATGTTGGTGAAGCTGATCTCCCGCGCCTTGCGCGGCGTGTTCTGACCGTTGTTACCCGGCAACGAGGTGAGCACCAGGGTCTCGGGCGAGTCCATCTCCCGAGTGATGTTGCAGGGTGACGCAGGGGCCTGCTGTTGTTGCTGCTGTAGCTGTTGCTGCTGCTGCTGCTGTTGTTGCTGCTGCTGCTGCTGCTGCTGTTGCTGCCGCCTGGCCTGCGGCGACGTCGACGACGAGGAGACGTGCTGTTTAGCCGCACCATCCAATCTAATCTTTGCGCACCTAGACACCAGCTGCCGCTCCCATCTGACGGCGCCGCTGGTCGGCACCTCGCTCACCACGCATACCGCCACGTAGAGCACCAGCCGCGCCTCCGGATTGTACGTCTTGCAGAGGCGCATCAGCTCGGCGTAGAGCTCGGCACCCATCTCACCTGGCAGCAGGTCCGACCAACGCACGTAGGTGGGCTCGCCGAGGTCGGCGAAGCCGTTGCCGACGAAACGCTCCGCAGCTTCCGGGCTGGAGAAGAAGCACTTGACCGCGCCGCGACCATGAGCGGCGTGTCCGCGTCGAGCGAGCGCGGAGATGTGCTTGAGCGTGGTTGGGTCCTCCTTCGCCGAGGACAACACCTGACGACAGAGACTGCCGGCGCGCGAGTGCAGGCAGGTTCTACGGTGACGTTGCCAATGCGCCCGCCGACACTCGCGCGAGCAGTACAGGCAGGTGCAATTGTGGCAGCTCTTGTAGGTCCTGCGCGCCTCTGCCAACGTCGTGGAGTTGCCGCACTTGTTGTTGCGACAGCGCACCACCTTGTCCGCCGAGCTGCCGTTCGTCGAGTCCTGCGCGTTGTCGAAGGAGACCCTGCGATGACGTTGAACGCTACCACCGGCACCGACGCCACCACCGCGTGGCATCAACGACGACGCCGATGCCGATGGACGGGAGGGTAAGGTATCGCTACCCTCGCTCTTCCGCCTCACCAGCTCGCCGGGATAGAAGGTGCGCTCCTCGACCGCCGCTTGCACGTCCATCACACTCCTAGCGGACTCTACGACAGGTTAGGTCGAGGTGTCGTTGTCAATATAAGCGGGCTTGGTGCGGAGAGGTCGGTTCGTCAGGAGGACGATGAGGGAGGATGTCGGAGAACGAGAGATTCGAATGAGTCGATTTAGTCTTGGAAGAGTGTGAGGCTGCCGAGGAAACTGAGGACGAATGATTGAGGGGGAATGAACGAGTCCCAGATAGACAGAAATGCTAAACATAGTATGCAAACACATCTAACCCTTTATCTAGTTTAATGTTACTCTCAAGCAACATCGATTTCTCATCAGTTATACGCAAGAACGACAGACGCAGAATGCATTTATTTAGCTCTGTTGCTCTGGAGCAGCATCTGTTTTGTTCGTCTCAGTAGTTTTGATTTTTGTCACTGTGATTTCTGCCCGATAAAAAAATGGTGGAAAATATATTTTCAAGATAATATTTTGAAAACATTCAGGAGACATCATTTGCTTCATTTAAACACTCAAAAGTTTATTTTCTTCAGTTTTCTTGTCTATCAAATAAAGAATTAGTGTATACTTTATTATGCTAGCGCAACAACACAATGTATTTAAAATATATTTGTTTTAAAAAATATCCCTTTGTGTTACGCCACAATTTTAATTAAAAAATATTTACTTTTTATTACTATAATAATAATTCCGGATTAACTGCTTTCTCTTTCTGGCAAAATAAGCAACAATTTTCATGATGGAATATTACTAGAGTTTTCATAGCGTCTTAAATGATTTCTTTTATATAAAATTCTTGCTGTGTAAGGATCTCTGCATCTCTGCATACTTGTGCTTGTTACTAAGGAGATAATGTACCGAAATACTTCTATCTGGGGTGATTCGAATTGGACCTCTTGGAAAAGTGTGATAGTGGCGAAAAGGATGGGGATGATGAAGGAGAACATCGAAGAACGAGTGGCTCAAGTTTAAGTTTAGAAGTGTTATGGCGTCGAGGAAAGTGAGAAGATGAGAATGATGAGGAAGGATATGATGACGTCGAGGAGGATGAGGACGATGATACGTAATTGATGATCGATGCTTCAGCGAAACGACGTCGTTGGCCAATGGCAGACACGAATGATTCGGCGAAGGTGATGCCGACAACAGGTCGCCGATTCGTTCTCGCTTTCCTCCGTCATTGTCGTCGAGAGCCAGCGCGTGGAACGCGTTAAAGCACAATGACGTGTGGCGATCATAAGGGTGACCTTCTTCAAACACCAATTAAGTTAATTACGACAATTAGCTCAGCCGGCAGAGTTGCCAGTTTGAAAGATAAAGACCAGTTTGTTACTGAAACAAGTAAGAAAAGTTCTCTTGTCTTTCCGCTTTTTTACAATTTTTTTTACAATTTATACCTAACATTGCTATCAGGGAGAGAAAGTTAAGTATTGACTGTTCTGTTTTGCTAAGGCGAGATTATTAATTTCTTATTTATCGCAAGATGACAAATTACATAGCTAGAAATTGTTGTTGGCAAGTCTCCCGACGAATCATTAATTAGTTTAACCGGAGTTTGGAGACAGTCATCTTAAGCAAGCCGTGTGAGAGCGTGATGATGATAGCGATATCGGCGTGTATATGTGTGTGTGTGTGTGTGTGTGACGTGATCTTCAACGACGCATTCGCTAACACGTTGAACGCCATGACGGTGACCGGTGCTATGATACTACCGCGTCTCATTGAATTACGTATGAATTACATACATTGAGTGCACTTGAAACATTAATCGTACTTTGCTAACGGAGAACCGGTGAAACGAAGTGAAAAAGATATATGCGCCTTGAATTGCGCTTATTTACCCTGTCCTTGGTAAACTCGGTCATCAGTTAAGATTTTGTTCGATCAACGTGAAAATCAATGTGTTAATTCCCGTCGTGACGGTGGAACTTTGCTAATCTTTCCTCTTTGCCGTTAATTCGCGTCTCCTCGCGTGTGTCATGTGAGTTTTTCAGTGACTCAACTTGGCACTTCAAGCCACGCTCCGGGGAAACTAAAATACTGAAGCAAATCAAATTAGATAAAAATCAAGTGGAAGGAAGAATGAGAAAGCCGACTAAAGAAAGAGAAAGAGAGAGAGAGAGAGAGAGAGAGAGAGAGAGAGAGAGAGAGAGAGAGAGAGAGAGAGAGAGAGAGAGAGAGAGAGAGAGAGAGAGAGAGAGAGAGAGAGAGAGAGAGAGAGAGAGAGAGAGAAAGTGAGAGAAAGAGAGTGAGAGTGAGAGAAAGATAGTGGAAGCGAATCGAGATCTAATCTAAAGAGGAATATGCCAAACTTCGAAATTACAATCTCGTTTCGTCAATTGGACGAGAATGAATGCACAAAGGACAAATGTATCGCGTTCTCTAATCTCCCGAGCGGAAAATTCTCCACTGTGCGCGACAAAAATATCGACAAGTACACTGTTTGACTACTGCGAGCGAACTGTATCTCGGTGATAAGAGACCACAAGTGGAAGAAGCATTTGGACAGTACAAAAATGAGGGGGCACAGCCGCAGGTTCGCGCAAGAAGCGAACCGAGTGACAGCTCACAGCTCCCCACGTGCTATCAAGCTTGATCGTGCACAGAACCAGAAGCGGGTCCGCGTAACTCTTCAGCTGCACTTTCTTCACGCTCTCGCCGTCGACAACCGAAATCTGCGTATTATCCGCGACGTTAAGTTGAATGAGAGATCGTTATCGCTTCTCCTGCTAAATCGGATGCCGCGTTTACCGAATCAGCGATCTGAAATTCTCGATTGAATTCTCGATTGAAAGTGAACATCGAGAGAGATCGCGAGAGAGTGTGTAGAAAGCGCTGCTAGAAAAGGATCAGACCCAGAAAGAGAGAAAAATATATTGAAAAAAAAAAAAAAGTATAAGAGATAGAGAAAGAGAGTGTCGAGAGTCTTGGTGATGATTGTTGTCTTACGATCTCCGTCTCAGCTCGTGTTATTAATTTCGCTCCTAATCATTCGCGCGATAAGCAGCGAGCGGCTGCGACGGCCGGCCACGGCTAAACTCGTCCTCGGACTCGGGGGTGGCTACGACCCCGCGAGCATTACACGCCCTTAGGCTCGCCTCTGCAAAGGTGCAAAAGTACATGAGTGGGCGCATCGACAGGTGACAGCGCGAGACACGCGTTTATTATCTGTGCCTTCTCTCCCTTGTACCGTGTGTGTGTGTGTGTGTGTGTGTGTATCAGGTGGACGATTCTCGTTCATATGGGATCGTACATATACGGTGTACCACGATACGCAAGATCGACTGGATCGAGTCGATCGAGATCTACACAAGGGAGACTCCGCCAGATCCGATTGAATAAACCGGGTGACGTCTCGTTTTCGTCTCACTCGAGACTGCTTCCCAGCAGCCGAGATGAGAAAGAGAGCTCTTTCTCTTTCTCAGCGGAGCGAATCCTCGTCAGTGAGAGAGAGAGAGAGAGAGAGAGAGAGAGAGAGAAAGAAAGAGAGAGAGAGAAAATCCTACATGCCCTCCCTTCTGTGTGCCTTCTTCGATACGCCAATACAATGTGAATTTGAGGATGTGTGAATATATGAGAGAGCGCGATCTTATCCCGGGTTCTCACGTCTTATCACGCTCTTTCGCCCCAACGATCGCGCGGTGACTGGTGAGTGGCGATAAGTGGCGACGAGGCGAAGAGAAACGCAAGTTTTTCAGCTCCGCGCCGCAAAACAGTGGAATAATAATGCTGACCAGCCATTGCCGTGCGCGTCGTGGTGTCCTGAAGCGGACGTACACCCCGGCGGCGAAACGGAATCAATTAAAAGAAGCAAAAAAGCAGAAGTAGAAACACATGTAGAAAAATGAACAGAAACTTTCCCGAAGCCTCTTCGGGATCGAATTAGCCGCCGCTGGCGTAAATCCGCCTTGACTACTTCGGCGCGCACATTGGCTTTTCTTCGGGATTAAAGCAAGGATACGGTAGAGAGAGAAAGAGAGAGAGAGAGAGAGAGAGAAATAAAGAGAGAGGAAGAGAGAGAGAGATCATCCTTGGTAGGATCTGCCTCAGAACGAAAACTTACATAGTCCTCCTACCTTGGAGGTCTTGGCGTAGGTCGCTGCAGCTCTTCCCGGCTTTCGCCTGGCCGACGTTCGTACGATGGCGGATGGACGTAGCGGTCATGACAGGTCCTGGGCCAGGACTCGGAGTACGCGACGCGGGTGGCAGCCCCAGGAGGGAGTCAAGTACGTCCTCCAGGGTCGTGGAACCCGGACTCGGTTTGTTCCGCAGAAGAGCTGCCGTCGCCATCGCCTCGTCCGTATCGCTCTGGCCCGATCCTGATCGGTTTCATGCGGGGGTAAAGAAGAGACAGAGAGGTTTGCGTCATCCTCTTGGCCTCGAAAGTGTGCGTGTCTGTATGTATATATGTACGTATATGTGCGCCGTAAACCCTTATCCACGCGATTTTCCATTAACCCCGTAATTAACGTTAAAGCGGTTACCTTCTGATCGCCTCTTCAACTCGATTTCATCAATTTTCACTTACAACATCCGTATCCTGTGTGTATGTATGTGAATACGCGTGGGTGTCGAAGTGAGAACGGAATAATCTTTTCTAAAAAAGTCCATCCCTTTTTACTTCCATCGACCCCGTTAATAATCAAAAGCGGATCCTTTTCCCACTGCGTACTTCCGGATTAATTTGGTTAATTTTCTCTTGATCCTCCCGCGCGAGTGTTGTTCGTGTTAGAGAAAGAGAGAGAGAGAGAGAGAGAGAGAGAGAGAAAGAAGAAAGGGGGAGACTTTCGCAGCCTCCATTAAACAAGTGTGTGTGTGTGTGTGTGTGTGTGTGTGTGTGTGTAACTGACGAAATTGTCGATTTGCTCGCTCGCAATTCGCAGTTCTCAGATACTCAAAGGTGGTAAGACAATGTGCCTCGTTTGGTGTGTGCCGGATCGAGTCTCAGGATCGGGACTAATAATAAGTGATCGATTCGATACTCGACACAGTCGATTGTGCTTTACGCGCGCGCACGTAAGTGCGGCTTACAGCAAGGATAGAGAAACAGGTGGATGGAACTTGGACTGTTGTGCTTAAAAACAGGTACGTCGTTCCCAGGTGATTCGAAGAAGTGACCAAGATCCTGCAGCACTTACCGTGAACGCAAGCAGAACGTGGTATATGCACACACGCACACACACACACACACAGTATGACCGGAAGTGAACGAAGAGACGTTCACTGCGAAAGTGCGACAACACGAGAGCGCCGCTACGATAGATAGATAGATAGATAGATAAGTAGAGATAGATTCTCGGCTTCTCTTCCAAAAATACATAAAGAATATAATATGTACAAGATTCACTTGTGACGATATATCTCCTTGTACAATGAGAAGTATTGCCGCAATTAACCGATAACAATCAACAATAAACGAAACATACATACAAGATAGCTGAAAAAATAAAAATGGAAATAACAGTTTAAAAACAGAGAGAGAGAGAGAGATGGAGACGGATGCAGAAAGAGAGACAGAGAAAGAGAGAGAGAGAGAGAGAGAGAGAGAGAGAGAGAGAGAGAGAGAGAGAGAGAGAGAGAGAG